TAACTGAGCGATGTATAGTCGCAGCCTGTCCTTTTCTCCCACTTATCGGACCGTCTCTGTTGTCACATATTGGTACAAACTCCACAGCGTCACTACATGTTCGGAGGCAACCCGGGTGACCTGTTTTCCGGCAACCGGGTGAATGACACGCGCTTGGACGATTTCTGGTCATTACAACTGCACGAGAGATCGTCTCATGAGGTATGTCCGCTACAGTGCGAAGTACTACATATGCATACGCTCTCGGCTACAGACTGTGACTAGTGTGTGGCATGGCGTGGATTAGAGGTGCTTGTGTGCGCCTACTACTAGGTGCAATAGAGCTGTTATGCGCTACAGTGCGTAGTACTACATATGCATATGCTCTCGGCTACAGACTGTGACTAGCGAGCGGCATGACGTGGATTAGAGGTGCTTGTGCGCGCCTACTACTAGGTGCAATAGAGGCTGTTATGCGCTACAGTGCGTAGTACTACATATGTATATGCTCTAGGTTACAGACTGTGACTAGCGAGCGGCATGGCGTGGATTAGAGGTGCTTGTGTGCGCCTACTACTAGGTGCAATAGAGGCTGTTCTGCGCTACAGTGCGTAGTACTACATATGCATATGCTCTCGGCTACAGACTGTGACTAGCGAGCGGCATGGTGTGGATTAGAGGTGCGTGTGTGCGCCTACTACTACTAGATGCAGTAGAGGCTGTTAAAGAGCGTGCAGTGTGACTTTGACTGCAGGTAGGTATGAGTGAACCAATCAGGCCAGGCCTTTGGTATTGATGATGTCAGACATCCTATAGCCTTGCCAGATACTTCTGTTGGCCATAACACAATCAAACTCGACGACGCGCATACTCGCTATCAACCCAGTAGGAGCATGCCTTAGAGTTCAGGGTTAAGTTTAGGGTTTGGAGTGTAGGTATCTTTATTTGTTTACACGCTATTGCTATATATAATGCCTTGATGTCCAGGGTGGACTTGTGGCTACCGGCAGATGTTGGCAGTTCCCGTGACCCTGCGTTTCAGGGGCGAGCGATCGGGACTATCTAAAGGCTGAGCCTCTTGCAGACTGTGCCCCAGTAGAAGCACGCCTTAGGGTTTAGGAGTTAGGGTTAGGGGTTTTTTAGTCCTGCCCATTCGCAGTTGCTTGGTTTGCTGCAGTAGTTGCATAAACCATCCAATGGCAGCACCTCCACGATGTAACGTTGCTGTCTCCAATGTTCTCAATTCATATGTGGACGCCCTCGTCTCCTAATCGCAGATTCTGAATAATGCGCTGTTTATGATCCGATCGGAATACTTTTTAAAGATCTGTCGAATGGGGAAGCAGATCGAGGCACTCTCGTACTTGCAGAATGGTAAGATGTCTGAAGGTTAATTACCATGCACGACAGCCGTAGACAGCTGTGGTCATGGGGCAGTGTAGAAGAACATGCAATGCAGCCCATATATATATATATATATATATATCGTTATCTATATCTATATCTATA